CTGCTGAATTGAAAACTTGGATGGCATATCTTAGAGCGCCAGCTCAAAATGATGGTCACAGTTACTGAACAATCCAGAAGAAAATCCACAAGAAATGGAAAACTGTATAGTGGTTGCGCTTAAGAAGTTTTAAAGCAGCAATTATATACTCCTAATACAAAAAGTGAATACAAACTAGAGTAAACAATGTGGTAGAGTTGTTAACTGATGATCTCCGGAATGTTCTACCGTTTTGACAAGTTTCTTCTTCCAAATGAAGATGAAGAAAGATGAAGAGCATGTAGCATCTCTGGTCAGTTTCTCAACTGGTAAATACCATTAATTTTCACTGATGTGTCATGACATTATTGGAACAAGAGTTTACAGTAGTTCTCAGTGGGCAAAATGCTGTGGAATACCTTCTGTTTAAAAACTTAAGCACAATCACTATACAGTTTTCCATTTTTTGTGGATTTTCTTCTGGATATCTTAGAGCGCACCATCTAATTGAAGGAATATCGCGAGCACTTTAAATGTTTTGAATGTGGCGAATGTTTTAGCTGTTTTAAAATGTTTTAAAAGTTTTACGTTGACTAGGTACATTATGCCGACTTTCGTAAGCCGTCCTGAGCCTGTTCGTGGGGAGGGCGGGGTATAAATACAAATAATAACGAAATAGGGGCGTCAAACTCCTTTGTTACGAGGGCCGGATCTGATATAAATTTATTTATTTATTCTGCTAAATGTAACTTTGTTGGGCTGGGCCTTGTGTGCCATAAAACTTAATGTCAGGTACCGGAGATATAAACTGTATAAAGGACGGCATTTGGTAAGCTCCGAACTGGTGTCTCCTCACTGCAAGGCCTCATGGGCTGGGATTGGGGTGCAAATAAAAACCCACATGGGCAGACTGGAGAGCCAGCGGTGCAGCACTGGGCAGATGCTCCCACGCTGCTTGACTGCTGCAGACACAGTTGTTCCACCAAGTTTGGTGTAGTGGTTAAGTGCGCGGACTCTAATCTGGGAGAACCGGGTTTGATTCCCCACTCCTCCACTTGCAGCTGCTGGGTGACCTTGGGCAAGCCATAGTTCTCCCAGGGCTGTTCTCTTCAAGGACAGTTCTGGAAAGAGCTCTCTTGGCCCCACCTACCTCACAGGGTGTCTGTTGTGGGGAGGGGAAGGGAAAGGAGTTTGTGAGCCGCTCTGAGACTCCGAGTGAAGGGCGGGGCATAAACCCAATCTCTTCTTTAAGCTGAAGCCATAGTTAGAGTGGCTCCGCCCACTCCACCCCAGCAGTCTCCTTTGCACTAGTTGCTCGCGGGCCGCATAAATAAGAGCCCAGGGAGGGCCGGTTCCGGCTCCTGGCCCTTATGTTTGACACCCCTGCTCTATGGCATCATACCTAGCTGAGGCCCCTCCCCTCTCTCGGCTCCACCCCCAAGTCTCCAGGTATTTCCTGAGCCAGAGTTGACAATCCTAGACTCAGACCCCACAGGTGGCGTCTTCTCTGCGGGGTTCCCCTGAGCACAGCCCTTCTTGTTCCGTGACCCTCAGGTTGAAAAGAGCGAGAGTCCAGGGGCACCCTAAAACCTGTGGGAGGGGATGAGCTTTCATGAGTTACTGCTCACTTCGCCAGGTATCTAGAGAAGTGAGCAAGTGACTCATGAAAGCTCCTCCCCCTGCCACGAAGAGGGTAACCAGGATGGTGAGAGGGTTTGAATCCACGTCTTACGAGGAAAGGCTGAAAGAGTTGGGTATGTTTCGCCTGGGAAAGAGAAGGCTTAGAGGGGACAGGATTGCAGTCTTCAAGTATCTGAAGGGCTGTCATGTAGAAGATGGAGCAGATCTCTTCTCTCTTGCTCCGGATTGCAAGACTAGATCTAATGGGTGGAAATGACAAGGGAGTCGTTACCAGCTAAATATCAGGAGAAACTTCCTATCTGTCAGAGTGGTTGAGCAGTGGGAGGTGGTGGATGCTCCTTCGCTGGACGTTTTCAAGCAGAGGCTGGACGACCATCTCTCGGGTATGTTGTAGGTATGTAGGGCTATCGTTCAGTTATGCTCCGGCAGAGTGCAGGGGGGTTGACTAGATGATCTGCAAGGTCCCTTCCAACTCTGACATTCCATGATTCTAATTGTGTTAGTCTTGAAGGTGCTCCTGGTCTCTGGCTCTTTTCTACTGCTACAGACAGACTAACACCACTACCCATCTTGATCTATCACTGTGGTTGAAAGGTAGACTTGCCTCTGTACACGGAGGCTCTGCCAGGTATCACAGGTCACCACTGTAAAGAGGCTTCTGCCTATGCTGGAGAATCGGGCCCAAAAGGCAGGGCAGGACAGCAGGTAGTAGCCGTTTTGGGCTGTCTGAAGGCAAGCCAGCCCTGCCTCTTTGTACTGTGCTTTAATGGGGGAAGGGGCCGTGGCTCAGTGGTAGAACATCTGCTTGACATGCAGAAGGTCCCAGGTCCAGTCCCTGACAGCATCTCCAGTTAAAAAAAACAAACCAACCAACCAGGATTTGCAGGGGAGGGAAAGCGCTGTTCCTTCCTGAGCCCTGGATTCTTCCTTTTTGCTCTTACCTGGCTTGGCTGCCCTCCTTTTCTCCCATCCTTCGCCAGTGCAGTTTTTTCTCTCCCTGCCCTCTTGCCTACCTGCTGCCTGTGGCTGCTTACCCCATCTGTCTAACGCTTTCTTACTCCCTGCCTTGCAACCCCCAGGGGGTCTCCCCCCTTCCCTGGCCCCTCCCTGCTCTTCCTCTCCCCAAAGTGTTCCTTTTAGTAGCCCCAAATGGTCCCTGAAGGTTTTGTCCCCCTTGTATTTACCATTTGGGGTAACCGTTGAGAGCCAGTTTGGTGTAGTGGTTAACTGTGTGGACTCTAATCTGGGAGAACCGGGTTTGATCCCCCACTCCTCCACTTGCACCTGGCTGGATGACCTTGGGCAAGCTGTAGTTCTGACAAGAGCTGTCCTTGAAAAAGAGCAGTTTCTGTCAAGAGCTCAGACAGTTCCCAATAACAGTCATTCAAAAGAATCAAACTGATTTCTCCAGGGACTCTGACGGGGACAAAATGTTCTCTGAGACATCTGAGCCAGACGGACCCTTGGTCAGATCTAGCCGGGTTTTGGGTATGTTCTTTAGTCTGCAGTCTGGTACTTGCAGGGGAGGGGCTGTGGCTCAGTGGTAGAGCCTCTGCTTGGCATACAGAAGGTCCCGGGTTCAATCCCTGGCAGCATCTCCAGGTAAAAGGCCCAGGTAGGAGGTGATGTGAAGGACTTCAGCCAGAGACCCGGGACAGCCGCCACCAGCTTGCATAGACATGACTTACCTTGATGCACCAAGAGTCTGATTCAGTATAAGGCAGCTACATGTATTCTGGAACAGCCCCCGGCTGTTTGTTCTGTAAAGGGATCGGGGTGGGCCTACAACTGCTCATTATGTTTCTTCCGCCCCTGAGGATGATATTTCTGCTCCTCCAGAGCTCCAGAAGGCCAAGGAGAAAGCCCAGAGGAAGGGAGACCTCCAGGAAGAAGCGGCCCTCTGTAACCAGCTGGGCGAGATCTTGGCTCGCCACGGTGAGTGTTTGTTGCGTGGTCAGGGATACCTGGAGCATCATCTCCAGTATGGGCCTTTTGTGGGAGAAGCTGTGCCATAGGGATGCCCTGAAGTTGTTCAATGGGGTGATCGTCTCCCAACCCCAAGTGGCTAGCTGGGGGGGGCGTGCTGACCACTGGGGCATGGGGAGGTGTGACTTTACACTGTGTGTGTCTCCCTGGCGCAGAGCCACTTTGGGGTAGTGGTTAAGAGAGGGGGACTCTAATTTGGGAGAACTGGGTTTGATTCCCCACTCCTCCACATGCAGCCAGCTGGGTGACCTTGGGTCAGTCACAGTTCTCTCAGAGCTGTTCTCTCAAGAGCAGTTCTCTGAGGGGTCTCTCCGCCCCACCTACCTCACAGGGTGTCGTGGGGAGAGGAAGGGAAGGAGGCTGGAAGCTGCTCAGAGAGTCTGAGTGAATGGTAGGATATAAATCCCAACTCCTCCATTTTGGTGTAGTGGTTAGGAGCATGGACTCTAATCTGGGGGAACTGGGTTTGATTCCCCACTCCTCCACATGAAGCTGCTGGTGTGACCTTGGGTCAGTTACAAGTTCTCTCAGAGCTGTTCTCTCAGGAGCAGTTCTCATTCAGAGCTCTCTCAGCCCTGCCTACCTCACATGGTGTCTGTTGTGGGGAGGGGAAGGGAAAGGAGTTTGTAAGCCGCTCTGAGACTCCTTTGGGTAGTGAAGGGCCATGGGGTATAAATCCAATCTCTTCTTCTTCTTCTCAGTAGGATAAACCCATTGTGGGAGGTGAACAGCTGGCCGGGGAGGTAAATTTCTGGCTTTGGGATTCTTCTAGTATTCTGTCTTGGAGAGTTTCCCATCTCTTTGCCTGTCCCTTCTGTCCTGTGGCCTCCTGTGGCTGAAGGCTCTGTACCCTAGCCCTGGTGGGGTCACGGGCAAGGCGGCCTCTCTCTGTGCCTGGAGCTCACCGCTTCCTCCTCTGTCCCGGGCAGGGCGCTTCCAGGAGGCTCTGGAGGAGCACCGGCAGGAGCTGCGCCTCTTGGAGAGTGTGGGTGACGTCCTCGGCTGTGCTGTGGCCCACCGGAAAATTGGGGAGCGCCTGGCGGAGCTGGAGAGCTACGAGGCGGCTCTGAAGGTACAAGGCCCTGGGGAGGGGAGGGCTCAGCGCAAAGCGGGGGAGTGCCGCTTGGCTCAGGGCGTGGCTCGGTTTAGGCTCCGGGTGCGTTTCCTGCTCCCTGCCGCAACCTCAAAGGGCTTCAGAGTAACTGGAGCATGCAGCAGGAACTGTCTGGTCCCATCTCCCGTCCTCTGGAACTCACCTCCTCTGGAGGGTGGCAAAAACTCGCATCTTCAGCCTCTCTGGAGGTGGAGTGAAACTTTAGCACTTGGACAGGCATTGAAGGTGTGTAGAGAAATGGGGCTTTTATCTGCCTGGTGTATTGCTGAATGTTACACGTGTGGTCTCTTAGACTTCTTGGCTGCTTATAATTATGAGCAGCTGTTGAGGCGAAGGAGTCCTTGCAAAGCAGAATGCCTGCACGCAGACCACGTGTGCAGGGAAAGGGATGGGGTGAGAGAGAGCGGTGGGGTGCGGGAAGAGACGGGTGGGCCTCTCAAACCTGTGGGCCTGCAGTGTTTGGCACTCTGTGTGAACTCTTACCGAGCTTGTGGAACTGAGCAAGGTGCTGGCATTAATGCTGCCAAGGCTGCGGATGGGCTGGCTAATGGTGGGGGCAGACATAGGTCCAGTGCCTGTCCGTGTGCATGCATGCTCATTAACATAGCCAATGGATAACTGTTGTTCGGGGTCTTTATCACACGTTTTAGCATACAAAATGTTTTGCAGTGAGTTTGTTTCTTCCCTATGAGGTGGCTGGAAGCAGAGAGAGTAACAGACTGGTCCCAAATCGCACAGCCTAAAGAACATAAGAGAGGCCAGTGTTGGATCAGGCCAGTGGCCCATCCAGTCCAACACTCTGTCTGTCACACAGTGGCCAGAAATACCCGGTGCCATCAGGAGGTCCAGCAGTGGAGCCAGGAGACCAGAAGCCCTCCCTCTCCCAAGCACCAAGAATACAGAGCATCCCTTGCCCTATGGCTGCTCTTATGTTCTTACCTCCTATTTTGCACCTCTTTAGACTCTCTGGGGGTGGAGTGAAACTTTAGCACTTGGACAGGCATTGAAGGTGTGTAGAGAAATGGGGCTTTTATCTGCCTGGTGTATTGCTGAATGTTACACGTGTGGTCTCTTAGAGTTCTTGGCTGCTTGTAATTATGAGCAGCTGTAGAGGCGAAGGAGTCCTTGCAAAGCAGAATGCCTGCACGCAGACCACGTGTGCAGGGAAAGGGATGGGGTGAGAGAGAGCGGTGGGGTGCGGGAAGAGACGGGTGGGCCTCTCAAACCTGTGGGCCTGCAGTGTTTGGCACTCTGTGTGAACTCTTACCGAGCTTGTGGAACTGAGCAAGGTGCTGGCATTAATGCTGCCAAGGCTGCGGATGGGCTGGCTAATGGTGGGGGCAGACATAGGTCCAGTGCCTGTCCGTGTGCATGCATGCTCATTAACATAGCCAATGGATAACTGTTGTTCGGGGTCTTTATCACACGTTTTAGCATACAAAATGTTTTGCAGTGAGTTTGTTTCTTCCCTATGAGGTGGCTGGAAGCAGAGAGAGTAACAGACTGGTCCCAAATCGCACAGCCTAAAGAACATAAGAGAGGCCAGTGGCCCATCCAGTCCAACACTCTGTCTGTCACACAGTGGCCAGAAATACCCGGTGCCATCAGGAGGTCCAGCAGTGGAGCCAGGAGACCAGAAGCCCTCCCTCTCCCAAGCACCAAGAATACAGAGCATCCCTTGCCCTATGGCTGCTCTTATGTTCTTACCTCCTATTTTGCACCTCTTTGGGCCAGAGTAGCCCCTGGAGTTCCCCTCGGGGCCTTAGCAGGGTAGTCTTGACCCTCCTCTCTGCGTCCCTTTGCACAGCACCAGCGCCGCCACTTGGAGCTGGCGCAGTCTCTCCACAACCACATCGAGCAACAGAGGGCCTGGGCCACCCTGGGCCGGACGTACATGTTCATGGCCGAGAGCGATGCTTCGAGTGGGGCCCTGCAGGAGGCGGAGAAGGCCTTCGCGAAGAGCCTGGCGATTATCGAGGAGACACTGGACGGTAGGACTTTTGTTTCCCACCCAGCAAAGGGTTGGATGGGGGAGGGACTGAGTGGGGTCTTCCAGGCAGGGAAGTCCCCCCCCCCCGCAGAGGCAAGTGCTGTTGGCCTGTCCCACTGTTCAGCTTGCCCCCCCCCCCGGGGGGGGGAGGCTTGGGGCTCTTTCTGCCCTGGAAGACCAGTCTGTCACTTAGCCGAAGTCACCCCAGGACTTTCAGCGTTTGCTTTTGAAACCCAGCAAGCCGTAAATCCTTGCAGCTGGAGCAGATGCCTCCAGACTCTTGGGTATTCAGGGCCTGGGAGAGGGAAGGCCTGTTTTAGCACCTCCGGAATGTCAGTTTGGTGTAGTGGTTAAGTGCACGGGCTCTAATCTGGGAGAAGCGGGTTTGATTCCCCACTCCTCATCCACATGCACCTGCTGGATGACCTTGGGCAAGCCGTAGTTCTTAACCAAAATTTTTATTTAGGATACAACCAAGTACATTCAACATAATATTTTCTATATTAATCCCCTTAACATTTAACATTTAATTTTCTCTATCTCTGTTATATCCTACCCCCCTCCCTTTTCCCTCTCTTATATATGGCTTCCCACAGTGCTTCGACCTCCTGCTTTTCTACTTCTTTTCTGTTTTTCTATAATTTCTTCCTTTATATGTATCACTAGGTAACTTTTACTTCATTATGTTAAAAATTTCTATACATATTATAGCTTTTAAATATTTCCATATTCAATAATTGTCAAAGCAAAACAAATTGTCTTTTAGCTCCCAATATTTTTCTAAATAGTCCTTTAAATCTTTCCAATCATTATAAAATTCTCCTGCTTCCCTATTATTTAGTTTTCTTGTCATCTTGTCCATTTCGGCTGCAAATAACAATTTCCTCATCCAGTCTTCAATCTTCGGAAGAAGGGCAAGCCATAGTTCTGATAAGAGCTGATCTTGAAAAAAAGAGCAGTTCTTGGTCAGAGCTCTCTCAGCCCCACCTACCTCACGGGGTGTCTGTCGTGGAGAGGGGAAGGGAAAGGAGTTTGTAAGCTGCTCTGAGACTCCTCTGGGTAGTGAAGGGCCATGGGGTATAAATCCAGTCTCCTCCTCCTCCTCCTCTTCCCCCCCCCTCTGGTTTGTGCCAAGTCAGATTTCCTTCCCTTCCAACAGGAGTTTCTAGGCCAGTCAAGCCCAGAATACCTTTTTCTTTTACGCCACTGCGATCTCGCATGACCCATGACTCAGGACAGGCAGGTCGCACCACCCCCAGTGTTGCTAAGTCTTACAGCCTCCAGCTTGCATGGCACACCCACCCTGCTCTTGAGTAGAAGAAGAAGAAGAAGAGATTGGATTTATACTCCACCCTTCACTTGGAGTCTTAGAGCGGCTTACAAACTCCTTTCCCTTCTCCTCCCCACAACAGACACCCCGTGAGGTAGGTGGGGCTGAGAGAGCTCTTGACAGAAACTGCTCTTTTTCAAGAATAGCTCTTATCAGAACTACGGCTTGCCCAAGGTCATCCAGCAGCTGCATGTGGAGGAGTGGGGAATCAAACTCGGTTCTCCCAGATTAGAGTCCACGCACTTAACCACTACACCAAACTGGCTAAGGCTGCTCAGAAGCCTGGGAAG